TTGTAATACATAGATAACTAGCAGCTGGAATGTCAAGGATACCCTTTGTATTTATACAAGAGTACCCTAGATAGAGGAACCGTTCCTCCCCTCTTCAGCGTCTGAATATTCCTCCCTTGATTCCTTTAATTTAATTTCTTCTAGTTATCAGCAACTAGTCTCAATAGACTCTGCTAATAAGTTTTCTTTAATATTTCTTTAATAATTTTCATAAATCTAATATTTCTTAAATACGAGTAACAAGAATCCGCTTCAGTCGGAAATCAGACTCAAGTTTGTTATACAAACTATAATACAAGTTTGAGATCCAAAGCCGGAATAACACACTCAATTGTGACCTTTAATCGAGAATATAAATTTAATAATCATTTCACTCTCAAAGTTTTAATTATACACTTTCTTTCACTTCCCAAAGTATCCTTTCCATCATCGGTTTTCCTTCCTATTTCATCTTGCCTTTCTATAATCGTTCTCCTTCTTACACCAACTTTAATCGTTCTTCTTATTAGTCAAATCACAGTACAGTCAAAATGACATCTACCAATAAATCTACTAGAAACTCCAAGTCCTCGACAAATAGTAGAGGCACAGTAGATAATAACGTCCAACCTGGTAGTACCAGTCATGACGCAGGAGAAAGTGGCATGGTCGAAAGCATGCTTACAAGCGGACCTAACACTTCATCATCTAATCAGCAACAACAGGCTGATAGTGTAACCAGCCAAAACCTTTCGGGTGCTAATACACAAACCCAATCCCAAAGCGCTGGTACGCAAACACTTATAGTGAACTTAGGGATAATGTTCTGAGCACTAATCTTCTTCTCGACCTGATTAGGGACAAAAGATTCAGAAAGTCAACCAAGTCAGCCCAGCCATATCACCGGTATATCTACCAACCAAGGCTCAAGTGGCGATACTGCACCAGGGACAATAGCCCACGACCTCACGGCGACTACAGCAGGGGAAACGACAACTTCCAAAAGCCCACGTAAAACGATTACTAGTGCCACAACTCAAACAACTAATCAGTCAAAAAGCAACACCGCAGATAAACGCGGTAATAAAGATCCATCCTTAGATCAAGGATACTTGTCATTGCTATCTAATAACCCAGCAGATCAGATCTTAGGTGAGTGGCAACAATTGTTATCGATTGAGAAGCACATGAGACAACAAAAATTCCTAATGAATTAAAAATTTCTTCAATCATACTAGGGAAAGATACACAACCTAGTTTGAATTGGCCCAGCTCAGGGAAAGAAACATCAGCGGACGCTACACAACAACGTATGTTAATCCATACCCATCGTGAACAGGAGATAAGATCATAATTAACACATACCATGTTGCATTTCAGACAAGCAGACCTTACCAGACATTGATCTGAGCGATGAGAAGGCTGTTTGGAAAAGAGCCCTTGAATTGGCATCTACCGGTAGAATCGACGAAGCGACAATGTATTTCAGATTACATACTCAGTTACAATCTCAGACTGAGAAATCACCGTCAGCTACGTTCCCGAGACGCACACCGTCCCAATCTACCGATACACCTGCGACCACTAAAAATCTATCAACCTCAGCGAAAGTTGTAGTGGAAGGCGGCCTATCTTTCATCTCTGGAGCCATAACCTCACACACCGACATTGGTTTCACCCCATACTTCGATCGTAACCTGAAAGAATTAAGAGGTCCGATCCCACTAACGATTTTTAACAAACATTGGCAAGAACTAGCTAATAGTTATCACGTAGAAAAGAGAGTGAAAACCGACAACCTCAACAAAGATCTGACGACTTATACCGGATACCCTTATCCTCACGAAATGACTCAGTCCTATGCCACATGGAATGTTAACTATCGTAACTTCGTCGCGGTGTTGAGAGACGTGTATAAGTTCAAAACCTTTGCAAACTGGGCAGAGGCACATCAAGCCAACGTTGAATTCTATCATGAGAGAGATAATTGGATGACGGCGTTTCGCTATGATATCAAAATCCGACTCAACGCTTTCGCCTTCAGAGTAACCGAAAACGGAACTACTGTGCCACCCGATATATCTCAAAGACGAGAAGATATCGCAGCGATATGCTTCGCAGAAACCAGACGATTAGACGAAGGAGCGTTCACTGACAACCCTTACGCCAAAGGTGGAGCTCGGTTTGGATACGACTGGACCACCGGTTTACCCAGATCCAACAATAACAACTCGCAGCATCATAGTCTTATCGGCAATGCTACAGAGACCCATCATCCACAACAGTCATCTAGCCACCACAACAGTCATCCTTATGGGAATTATGGAGGCAACAACAAAAGACACCATAGCAAACAAGAGAACAATGGCGGAGGTGGTAGAATCAGAGGTGGTTACAATGGAAAGAACTTCGACCCTAATTACGCGGCAAAGAAAGCAGCGAATGCTAGACCAACCCAACAGGGAAATAGCACGTAAGGTCAATTTCCTTTACCCGTTCTGTTGTACCAAGTTCCCCTTTTCTACCACACGTCGTTTTCATCAAGCATGTTCAATTTCTACATTATTTAATTATCCTTCATTACTCTCGTTAATAATTTGTCACGATTGAGTATCCCTAAGACTACACACGAATGAGATATACTCTCATTCCGCTTGTAACCTCTTTAATGATGCCAATGAATGCACAATTTTCTTACCTTTGAAAACTGTTTTGCTTTCTGGTTCCTTTGCCTAACAGAGAAGAGCACAATCCAAAAAGAGTTCCTACATTATCATTCAAAAAGGAAAACGGGAAGAGAGTTTGGTCTGTGTCATGTGACAAAAACGATCATCAACACAAAACAGAATGTCAGCAACTTAGACAACATCCAATGCCAACACAGGAGTCTAATTTTCCCCCAAACTGGCCGAGAAGCATAGTATGTGAGATGAACATACCCGAATGGGAAAGAGCTCTACGGAAGGCGAAACTTCTTCCAGAATACGAAGATGTGATACACGGGTTCATTCACGGTTTCGACCAAGGGATACCGGAACATGTGTTAAGGGATCAAGACACAGGAGAAGCGTTACCTTTCTTCACTCCTCCGAATCACTCATCCGCGGTACTAGCAGCCGAGAAGATAACTCAGTCAATTGCAGATGAAGTCAAGGCACGAAGACTAATAGGACCTTTTACAAGAACACAACTCTCGGAGGTCTTCCCTTTTTACCGAACAAGCCCGATGGGAGCAGTCATTAACAATGACGGGTCCCTACGCCCAATTAACGATCTATCTTTTCCAAAGAACAATAGAACAACGCCGTCAGTGAACTCCTTCGTGGACGCAGCAAAATTCAAAACGACATGGGACGACTTTAAGACAGTCGCCAAGTTCTTCACCTCGTCGAATGAGAAGTGGCTGCTCGCGATTTTCGACTGGGAGAAGGCTTACCGCCAAATCCCAACGTCAATGTCACAGTGGCCCTACCTCCTAGTCCTGGATCTAAAAGGCCAAATTTATCTGGATACAAGGATTACGTTTGGAGGTGTTGCGGGGTGTGGTTCTTTTGGTAGACCCGCCGACGCATGGAAGCATATCATGATATCAGAGTTCGACGTCTTCACCGTGTTCCGATGGGTCGACGACAACATGTTTGTCAAACGACTGATGTCATCTACGAATATGGACAATATCGTAGAAAGGTCTCAGGAACTGGGGGTTTTAACAAACAAGAAGAAATGTGCCAATTTTGCACACGAACAAAAGTTCATAGGATTTATATGGAACGGGGTAGAAAAAACCGTTAGACTACCAGAACAGAAGTTAGAACAAAGAAAACTACAAATTCTCGAGTTCTTGAACGGAGGATCTTTCTCTTACGATCAGGTAGAAGTGCTAACAGGACGCCTAGTACACGTATCATACCTCCTACCACAACTCAAATGCTATTTAAATAGTCTTCACAGATGGAAAAGCGCCTGGGTGTACAAATACGCTAAACAACACTTACCAATTGATGTAAAAGATGACCTTTTATACTGGATAAAAACGTTGAATACATTCAAAAACCTCCGATTAATACCGATAATACAACCGAAAGAGATTTCGTGGGTAGGAGATGCTTCTACATCTTTTGGAATAGGAGTAATCATAGGAGAAAATTGGTCTCAATTCAAATTAAAAGAAGGATGGGAGACCTCTGGAACAGTGAAACGAGGTATTGCTTGGCTAGAAACGGTTGCTATTCGCATCGGAATTCTTATGATTCTCCAACTTCATCGATATAGAGGACAGAACCTGAACGTGTGGACTGATAATACAACTTGCGAAGACACACTCCGGAAAAGGAAATCAAGAGATAGAAGTGTAAATGATGAATGGAAAGTCATCCAACATCTACTGATCGAAGCTCAGATGGATATTAATCCAATGAGGGTGACTTCGAACGATAACATTGCAGATGAACTTTCACGAGGTCTTCCAACTGAACACGATGAAAAAGACAGGATAGTAATAAACCTTCCTGAAGACCTAGTTCATGTACTGGAAGTTACTACATAAGTACTTCTTTGAAAGCAACAATTATTCGTCAGAAACACGATAAAGTAACTGACGAGTACTTGTGAAAACTCTTCCTATGAAACACATATGGAAACCCGACAGTCACAAAAGGAAAAAGAGCGAGATGTTGAAAGGAGCTAATTGATGGTGTTATGAGACCGAGAGAATGTTTTCCCTCAAATGTAATCCATCCGTTCTTTGACACATAAGTCTATCCTTTGTATATTTGACTAAGTTGTCTATCCTTGTGTATTTGACTAAGTTGTAAGGTAGTTCAGTAAATTCATCATATGACTCGAAGTCGACATGACAGATTGGATTGATGGATCAGAAACAAATAACCAAACGTTCCCAGTGGTAATGAAGTGTTACAAGAAGTCCCCCTGACAAATAAGTTGTTCCTAAAAGGAACCCCTCCTACACATCATTTGAAGTTTCTTTCCTCCATAAATCCAATCGATCATACATCTCAGATGGCTCACAATGGGATATCCGCCTTTCTATCTGGTAAAGGAGACCAACCACTCACGCCATTACAGCTTCATTTATTAAACGGTTACAAGCCAAACACATTATCGAGTTACAATAGCGCCGTTAGCAAATTCAAACGGTTCTATTTAGAACAACATGAAGTAGAATTCTTCTTACCAGCTACGTCAGACGACATATATGATTTCTGCGTGACAGTCGGTAGAACCGAGTTCAAAGAATACGATGGAGAAATTTCAGCTAAAACGTTGTCTAAGTACCTGTTCGGACTACAGGCGTGGCACCTTTTTCACCGGTGCGATTACCCCCACAACACGAAGGATACAGTAAAAGTCATCCTACGGGCGTCAGAATTAGCAGACGCAAAGAAACCTCAGAAACCGAAAAAGCCAGCAGTGATGATACACCACCTACTTGCATTATTTCAAACATTAGACACCTCGTCCCCGAAAGATAAGGCAATAATTGACTGCGTCATAGTAGCATTTTGGGGCATGGCCCGTTTAGCAGAACTTACATATGATAGTGCAAAAGGACAACCGGAATGGATCAATTCGGTACTGGCTGGAGACGCCGTCACGTTACAAGGAAACAAATCGCACATTATTCTTTTAGTTCAAGGTGCAAAAACGGCAAGGCCAGGTATACACCAAAAGCTCCTCCTCAACGCACAACCAAACTGTTTGTGCCCAGTTAAGGCGATTTTAAGACGGGTATCCACGTGCAGTAACCCTTTCGAAGCCCTGTTCAGCTACGTAGAAGATGACGGAACAAGAATCAACCTGACAAGATCCACTGTAGTGAACCGTTGCCAACAAATCTGGAAACAACATGAATGGAATACTATTTCAGGCCATTCATTTCGAGTTGGAGGAGCATCATTGAGAGCGGCTCTAGGAGTCTCTCATGAAGATATAAAGTCCTTAGGCCGATGGACTTCCAGTTGCTATAAACTATACTTACGAGAATATACCCGAGAGGATATGACTATGACAATGTCCATATTGGGAATACTCAATAACGAGTACGACAAGGACACGGCTTAACCAGAAGAGTGGGTTAGAGCAGACTCAGGCTTCTGATGAAACCGAGAAATGGGTGTTTCACTAACCCCACCCTTCCACTTCTCCTTTTGACCGTGTAGTCTTGTCTAGGTGTCGGGACTTTCAAATCCTGATTTCGCAACTTTTGGATCTCATCCTGTACACGCTCAGGAATATTTAGAAGCTCCAGAAGTGCTTATCACGGGTTAGGAAGTACCTCCACCCAAACACTTGTACAACTGTATAAGCGTACACTTAGATAAAATAATCAGTTGTAATTGAATAACCATTAGCATCAATTATGAAATATAGTACGCAGAATGATGCTAACATCTATTCACTTCTCTTAAGAGGAGTTAAGGAATGAATAATATCAAAACTAACATGTGAACAACTATACTGTATGAACAAGATACATAAGTTGTCACATAAGAGTCTATTCTCACTTGAGCAGTGTTAGAATGGATGACGGTTCTTGACTCAATAGTCGATTTGCACGTCACCCGTCTGCTCATCAATGTCATCGATCTCCTGTCTAGCAATTCATCAAATCGAGGATTCTCAGATTGACAACAACTTCAAGAAGATCATCTCAAAGCAATCCCCGATTTGAATTGAATAGCAAAGTGGTTTTCACAAAGGTCAGCAAATTTAGAAGACACTATCGCATCCAATAACCACAAGTCCATTCCTCAATTGAGTAGACCAGTTTGGCTCTTTGAGTCAATTCTTGGGATCTTGACAAATTCTCTTGGCTTTAATCGATTCATCTTATTAGTCAACTTGCTCTTGACAGCATTCTGTATGGATGTGAGCTTCAGGACTCATTTTTCAAATGGTGAAGAAGATTTAGCATTGGTGAGAGTAGGAGCAGTAGGTGAAAATTGGGCCAAGATTCATGCTCAAATTCCACCTCGTGATCAAACAGGTTCGGAACTATATGATTCTGATGAAATCTCAGTAGGTGCTAATGTCCTCTATTGACCAAGAAAACCTGTTGGGGATTGGATAGTAGGACGCGAATTGTTTACATCTAATGAAATTGACTAGAATTCAGTAGTTGAGATTGACAATGTATGGCCTGGTACTTGCTTCCGAAGCTAAGCGGCACAACCTTGACCGCACAAATTAGATCGGTTAACATCCTTGTAATCCTCCAACACGCATCATGATTGGTTCGCTGTTGTAAGATGCTTTAGGACGGTCCCTGATCCACGCCTTGCATCTAACGCGGTTCATGAAGGGTTTTTTCCATCTGCATACACCCGGTGTATCAAACGTGCATTATTCTGACTCATAAGTGTTTTCGTATGACCAGATCATCTGATACGTCTGTTTGGCACTCTTTCACAGTGTGCAGCTGGGTTTCCATACCACCCTCTCAGATCACCCCTTCACAACGGTGCAGCAGAAGAGCTAGCCAAAATTGCTCCTCATGAGCGACATTTGGACTTGGTATTGGTCCTTGGCGAGTTTATCTATGCCAAATCACCTTTCTAAGCTGGAAATTGTGTACAAGATTATTGGAGAAAGTACTGACAATCTTACGCAAGCGCAGGATGGAAAAAGGTAGACCATCCATTAAGACTTGAATTTTTGATTCCTCTACAGGACTCTATTGGGATTGACATGATGAATTCATTTACAGTTCCTGCAGTCCATCATGAGGACTATTCATATCTATGATGATCATGAAGTGAGTGCATTTCAGACAACATATTGTCTATCAACCTAGGAGTTGACTGAGTTTTTATACATTCAAAGATCTACAACGACTGGGCAGGTCAAGACAATGACGCAGACCCAACCTTCTAACAAGCAAACAAAGCGTACAAGCATTATCTCAACAATGCCAATTATGATGGGCCTGGAAAGGGCAAGAACTATTACTGGTTCTGGCATGGTGACGAGGCATTTTTTGTATGGGAGTGTTGTCGTTATCAAAGTCCAGACCAGCAGATTGATGATGCAGAAAAGACAATGCTAGGTCCTACTCAGAAACAAGTATATCTTGGTTGGCTGGAGCTGTCAATGAAACTGTCACTTTCCAATTTGTGATCTCATCAACTCCTTTCATGACCCTTTGGAGTGGTCCAGATTGAGTGGTTGATACTTGGGCTGGCTTCACATCCAACACTCAGAGTTGATGGATGTCATGCAGAATGTCCCAAACTTGATAGTCCTCTTCAGGTGTAGATACCTGTTGTCTTGATCAATATGATTCAAATCCCCATGCTGAAGTTTTCAATGTGTGGGACCGCCGAGTAGTTGCTGCTACCATGATCCATGAGACTGTGAGGGATTTTTGACTTCACCACTAAACCAGTTTTGATTA